ATTCAGACTGTTTAAACTGCAGTCCTTTTCGCAGTTCAAACAGTTTAAACACTTTAAATGTTTAAAAAGTTGAAACTGTTTACACTGCAGTCCTTTTCGCAGTTCAAACAGTTTAAACACTTTAAATGTTTAAAAAGTTGAAACTGTTTAATGTGTTTATAGCTTTTTAACCGCAAATCTTTTTTAAATTCTCAATTCTAAATTGTAAATTGCATTTTTAAAAGAGTTTATTTTTTAAACAGCTTAAACACTTTGAACAGTTGAACCACTTTAAAAATGTAAACAGCTTTTCGCATTTTAAACAGTTTAAACGCTTTAAATACTTAAAAGTTTAAACTGTTTAAAGTGTTTTAAAGTGTTTAAACTGCAAACCCTTTAAAAAACTAAATTTTATATTCTAGAACTGAGAATTTAGAAAGGATTTGCAGTTTGAAAACAGCTCTTTTAAAACAAAGGCTTTGGCTCCTGGATCTTAAAAGCTATAAAAGCTATAAACGCCATAAGAGCTATAAAAGCTATAAACTTTTAACGCTTTTATAGCTTCTTTGGCTTCATCAAAAGCTATAAAAGCTATAAAAGGTAATAGCTTTTAAACGTTCAAAAAAGCTATAAGAAGCTTTAAAAACTATAAACGTTTATAGCATTTGCAGCTGTTGTAGCTTTTATAGCTTTTATAGCTTCTATAGCTTTTATAGCTTCTATAGCTTTTAGAGGGTTTGGGAATTCCCGGGGGCCAGGTTTCTTACCTTTTATAGCTTTTATGGCCTCTTTAAAAGCTTTAAAAGCTATAAAGCCTGGTCTCCTGGACTTCCCAAATCCTTTAAAAGCTATAAAAAGCTATAAGAGCTATAAAAGCTATAAACTTCTATAGCTTTTGTGGCTTTTTAATGAGGCCAAAAAAAGCTACACAAGCCTTAAAAGCTATAAGAGTCTACAGCTTTTAAAGCATTTATAGCCGTTAACGGATTTGGGAAATCCCGGAGGCCAGGCTTCTTAGCTTTTATAGCTATGGCCTCATTAAAAGCTATAAAAGCTATAAATGCGATAAAACCTGGCATCCTTTTTAAGCTATAACAGCTATAAGCTATAAAAGCTGTAAGCGTAATAAAAGCTATAACAGCTAGAAAAGCTATAAACTTTTATAGCTTTTATAGCTTCTATAGCTGTTATAGCTTTTAGCTTTTATACCTTTTATAGGTATATAGCCTGGCGTCCTGGATTTCCCAAATCCTTTAAAGCTATGAAAGCTAAACTTTTATAGCTCTTAAAGCTTTTGTAGCTTTTATAGCTTTGAAAAGATTTTGGAAATCCAGGAGCCAGAGACCTTTTGTTTAAAAGAGCTTTTATAGATTTAAAAAACTATAAAAGATATAAAAAGCTATAAACGCTAAAGGTTTATAGCTTTTATAGCGTTTATAGCTTTTACTTGCTTTAATCAATGCTATATAAGCTATAAAGCTTATAAACGTTATATTGTGCCTGTGTATCACTGCATCAGCAAGAGGCTGCTTCACATAGTGCAGGTTTGTCTTTCATACGAAGGACTATAGGTAGGACGAACGTTCGTGCGCTTTGCGCCTGGCTTTATGTAACAGCACTGAAGTGCAACAGCGCGTGACTACCAAGATTCTGCCATAAAGCATAAGAGTGTTCCAGGACTCGCGTGTTCTGTAGTACCTCCACCTGGTAGTGTCATCGTTCGGCTACGCATGCATGCGAAGACGTGGATTTTCTGGTATCACAGACATCATGGTCGTTCAGCCATGCTTTCGGTCATGCATGCGCTGGTGACATACTAGTAGAAGCCCCCGGCGGCACAAAATCAAACCACCCACTAAACCCCTGGAGCGACTCAGAACCTCCAGAAACGCAGAGCGCACGAACGAGCGTCCCACCAAAGACAAGCATGATCAAGCATGCATCACATATGACCCGCCCATATGTGGCCGTGGCCTCTCACCGGCGGAACCGGAACGCTGGCGTCGCAGACAGGTTTTACTACATCGGAGATGACCACCTGCGGGCTTATTCAATCTTCTTGTTTGCCAACATATCTGATGACCGGTACCCGCCTTCACATTCATATGTCCGACAGCCACGGCATATCCTTCGGTTGTTCTCTTTATGTCTTCGGCCAAGGCTGGCCCTCCCTTGACGCCAACCAGCGCATAGGCGCCTCTCCACGAAAGACCTTCGCTAAGGATGCAAAGCAAATCAACGGAAGCTTGGAGGCTGCAGGCGCAACTCCTTCAGCACGTTGCTCAGGATTCTGCCGTCGATCATGGTTGCTCCGCAGGTTTTGATCGCTGCTTTCGCCGTGTCTGTAAGATTATTGGATGCCTCCGTATCAGAAAGTCTCTCAGAATCCATGCCTCTCCCTGGTACGTAACCTTGGTCCCACGTGATAAAACGAAGATGCCAATACTGCCTCGTCTTTCGCTCCGATCAAAACCATGGTCCCATTCTCGATGCTATGGATGTACGCGGCCAGCGCGTCAGAACCGGACGCCATGGTGTCGAAAGTTGCCTAGGCCAGTGCGCGCTGCACATTGCTGCACATCGCTGCACACCGTGGCACACCGCTGCAAACCGCTGCACTCCGCTGCACATCGCTGCACATCGCTGCGCATCGCTGCACCATGCTCCCTTCCGCTCTCCGCTTTTGAAGACAGGATTCCGCGTCTTTGCGACTTCCATCTGGCCGCACTGTGACCACAGCCAGACCGCGATGTGACCTCAACGGTTAGACTTTCCGCTACAATCGCAACTCAGAGGAAAAATCAGCACATGACGACGCGATCTCCGGTGGCTTGCATGGATCCCTGGTACCTCACTTGCATGGCAAGGTTCCCAACATAGAAGTTCTTGCCGGCTGCGAAGAAAACAACTTCATTCCCATCTGCCCATCCAGCACTGCGCCTTAGCAAAATAAATGTGTAATTTCGCGTGCCTGTCTCTTTAACTCAATCGACTGAAGGCTCAATATGCTAGAACCTGCTAGAAGCACTGGCATCTCAACTCGTCAAGGAACACGCCGATGTCTGCTACATCTTCTGCGCTTGTGGTGCAGCAGTCATCTTCATTGTTACTCCACACAATCCTGAGAATATATGTGGCAGATTTGATGGGTGCGCAAGTCCGGCAATGCTTGCTGAACGGCGGCTCATGCAATTTGTGCCAACATGCAGCCTGCTGCAGCCGGGTGTCCACATATCGTCACGCTTCAAGGTCATACCCAAGGGGCAGCTCAGCATGGCACCTGAAAAGTTCCCACGACTAACCAGCCAAATTCTATCAAATTCCTCAAACTTCTTGGGGCGAACCGATGTCGGCCGCAGCATCTTATCGGCTGACACGATGCCGCTTCGATTGCGGGGGGGGGGGGTCAAAACGGCAACATAATTGCGAAACCCTCTGGATCCAGCGCGGAACACAATGGTTTGTGTTCCTGTGTCTTTTTCTTTGGTAAGGCAACCTGACATCTTCTTTTTGTACAGACATCCAACAACGGCTGCGAGACCAGCCGCCCTGTATTTCATGGGATGCCCTACTGGTCAGGCGTGGGCCCCATAAAATCTTCACTTCTATCCAGCGCAGGGTGAAACCAAGTCCTGCCCTACAGGGCATGGCTGGCAGCATGCGCAGTTTTTTGAAGCTGGAACCGTCTGTGGGGTATCAAGGTTCACATGGTTCCCAGCATGCACGTTTCTCGCTTCTTTACGGGGCATAGGAATCCAAACACGGAGTGGCAAAGCTGCGAGGCGACTGGATGCTGCTGGAGTTTCAGAAAATTTCAGAAAAATGTCAGAGCTTGCAAAGTTCATGGTCTGCCGGGTGAGGGTGATGTAGAATGACTGCTTGCTGAATTCTGGATGACTTATTCGGCTTATTCCATGTCCGTGGTCGCGATGGCAGGCTGCACTGTTCGAGCTCGACATGTGAATCCGTGCATGGAACTGGACGACTCAGCAAAAGAACCCAAACATGGACGTGCTCTCGCATCGGAGAACCTCCCCAAAGACTCAGCTGAGTCGCAAAGATTGGCAGAGGTCGTCATGGTGGTAGTGGTGACCACCTACAGATGCACTCAGTACTCTTAATACATATGCGAATGGCTTGCTGATGCAAGTACTGACGTATGAGTATGAGCAAAGAGCAGCTTGTGTTGTCTCGGGCTGTGCTGAATTGGGATGCGTGCCTGTTGGGCCTGCATGGCTCAGTGCCTGGGAAAAATTTGCCCTGGGCCACATCAAAAAAATTTGCTAAGGATCAAAAAAATTGAGTAAGCGGTCAAATGCAGCAATTCTGGCTGTTCGTGGGCTGTAAATGCCCAGAAATGGCCACATCAAAAAAATTCATTGCTAAGGATCAAAAAAATTTGAGTAAGCGGTTAAATGCTACGAAACGCAGCAATTCTGTCTGTTCGTGGGCTGTAAATGCCCAGAAACGCTGCATTTCTGGCCGACGCAAGCTCTAATTGCTGAAAAGTCACAGCATTTCTGCGTGCTTGACGGGCCACAGAAGCTATTCAGTACAGCATTTCCAACTGTTCCAAGGCTCCAGGCTCCAGGTTTTGGAAATTGCAGCATTTCACTTAGGGCAACCGCCCCCAGCGCTTAGGAAGAACCTTGCAGCCGCAGTTTTTACCCGCGGCAGGTCGCTGGTCTTTATCTAGCCGCAGAAGTCGCAGAAGAAGAGGCGGCAGTGCCGAAATTTGCTTCCACAGCCGCGCGCATGCCCCACGTCTCCAGATCCGTTCGCAACTGGCGCAGCTTGCACTCTTCTAAGTCTAGTCGTCGGAGGCGAGCCATCTCCACCCGCGGGCGGCCGCCTTCGAAGCAGGAGCGGGGCGGCAATTGCAGGAAGACCGCGTCTTGCAAGGTAGGCGTTCTGGAGAGTCAGCCATACAGCGACAACCAGAGCTCGTCTCGAGACATGCCAACGGGCTGTCCTAGGGCAAACATGGCCCGCGGCAGCGTCTGGCCCTGTAGGCCTCATATGCCGTTGCAGCGGAGTCGTTCGCGACGGGCAACTGCAAGCGCTCCACCGGCACGGCATCGGGGCAGTCAGGCAAGGAGGCTTTCCAAGACCGACGACAGGCGGGTAACCAAAAGGCCGCGCCCCAGACGCGGATCCTGCACCCATGTCGTGTCCGGGACCTGCAGCGCGAGGGCCTCGGGAGCATATCGCAGCAGGACGAACTCGCCGGGGCGGCACTGGGACCATCGGGCTCTCGGGCGTCGAAAATGATCTCGACGATCTCGCAGGGGCAGCCGCGCACGATCCCCGCTCAGGGACAAAGTTTCTCTTCGAGAGTTACCGTCATGCCTTCGTAAAGGAAGAGCAGCCCCTGGAACTGCTTCGTCATCGTCAGACGACCTGGAGCATGTGGGCGTAGTCCGCAGATGTAAGGCGGCGAGGGGCAGTTTCAGAACCGCACCGATCAGCGGCCACGGAGACGAAGAGCGGGGAGTTGTGGCTTTTTGCGTGTTGGAGCTCGTGGTGGCTCGCGGAGCTGGATTACGCCGGCGCGAACGTCATGACGTAGCACACCAGTGCGACAGCTGCGGTCAGCGACAAGACCAGCACGCACATCCTCGCGAGCTTGCTTAGCGTTGGGATGCGTGAGCAAGCGTCGCTGCATCGCGGACCAGGACTCGTTGGACAGAGCGCACTGTGACGCATCTCCTGGAGAACGCGGGCCAGGTCACCAGTGCAGCGATGGCTGCAGTCCAGGAAGATGACAGATTCTGCCGGTCCACAGCGCACGACCACGGGACGCCCAGACGCGCGCCTGCGCGACGCCGTCGTGCGTTTCTCGGGCGGGCTGCGTGACAGGCGCCGCGTCCACCAGCAGGCTCTGCTGCTTCACAGGAGGTATAGCTCTCCGGTAAGATCCACCAGAAGGCCGCCCCACGGCACGAAGAGCTGCGCGGGCGGAGCTTTCGCACCTCGCCAGAAGCTCTGCGGAGACCATGGAGATCTCGTCGACGCGCAGAACTTTTCGCGCGCTCCAGCGCTGTGTTAATGCTCGGACGGCATTTTCAGATAGGTGCTGGCCGGCATCCAGGCGAATGTCGAACTCTGTGTGCAGGTGGTGCCATGGATAAGTCGTGCGGCGCTGTGCGTGAAAGCACAGGACGTCGTGGCACCTGGGCAGAAGCGCCGCAAAAGTTGCGTTTTGAGATTGAGCATGTGGGTTTTTCCTGTCCCGGTCCGCCCAGGACAATGCAAGGAGCTGGACACCGATTCATCCGATGCGCCGACGCAGGTGCGAGGTGGGCAGCCAGACGTAAAGCGAAGTGCAGATGGTACGCAGCCTGTTTGACATCGAGGCCACCATCTTGCTGCTGGCAATGCCCGGCGGAAATGTTCTGCCAGGCCGCTGCGAGGATATCAGCTGGGCGCGCGTCGCGCACCACGACATTGCCCACATCGTTGCTGTTCATTGCAGCGTCCAAGTCGTCTTCAACAGCTGCCTCCGAAAGCACAACCTCCGCAGCCGCCCAATCGCGACAGCCGCGTTGCAGGGCGCGCGCGCGCGCAGAGGGAGCAAGCGCACGATAGGACGCGCGGCCGTCACGTGCCGGGGCTATTATTGCCGGCTCACGTAGAGGAAAGTACGTCCGCAATACCAGGAGGGTGCGCGCAGCGACATTCTTGCCGTCCAGGTTCTCGCCAGACACAGGGGCCAGCAGGTCCGCCATGGACACAGTAGCCAAGAGCGTGAGCGATCCAGCACACACGGCTCGTGTGGGTCCAGACCAGTCTGCTCCCCGGCATCCTCGACTGCCGAGTCCTCGGAGGAGAGGCTTTGGACTTCGTCTATGTCCGCAGCACCGAAAATGGTCGCGGGCAAGACGGACTCTGTGCTGTCGGGCACCCCGCGAGCATCCGGATTTTGTCAAATGCCGGCAGCGGCTTTGTCGGCGATCGGCCGAGCCCAGTTGGTCATGTTCTCCACCACATGTAAGACCCTGCGCGCCCAACACAGGTCCGTGAAAGGGACCGGGCGTTTGCTGGACGAGAAAGAGGTGTTGAGCTGCTGCAGGCGTGCCTGGTAAAGCGCCCACGCTTCCTGGCAAGTGCTACAACAGCCAGAACCGAACCTCCAAGCAGAAGCTACCAAGCCTTGCGGTTAATTCCAACCAGTGCAAACAGGAAAAACAGCGATGTAGGAGAAGGGAGGGTTCATGTTCGAGTTGGAGGTTCACGCGTGTCGCAAGGGTCGTTCAAACTGGCCGTGCTTACAAGCAGCAGGTTTGTCCCGACCCCACCCGGCGTAAGGTCGGCCCAATCCCTGCGGCACACAGCACAGGCAAGCAGAGGAAGGAAGTCACCGCAGCCGATCACACCCGCGTGGCCTGAAGGCAACGTTGAAACATGCTTACTACAGAGCTTGGATGCCGTCGACTCACCGCCCATAGAGCTTGAAGTCAACTCTAAAACATGCTTGGGTCATAGCTTGAAATCAACTCCGAAACAAGCTTGGGTGCTGTTTTTTTTGATCTTGGGCAGTAGGGGCGCTTAGCCTAAGCGCCCCTAACGCACATGCAGGAAGCCAACGCGCCTTCAAGATCCCCAAAGGGGGGGTCGTGTACACCCAATTCAGAGGGCGGATAGCCCAAATTTGCACCACCCTTTTCTGGGCCCACTCCCCACACCCCTGTTGTTCAACCTTACGGTTGGTAAGAGGACTCGGCTAGCCTCACGGGCTAGCTTTCGTGATATACTTTATATACTATGTATCCTAGATATACTAACTATATATATATATATTTCTATAGTATATATACATATACTATGTATATATATATATACACATACTATATATGTACACTATATATGCTATATATATATACTATATACGATATACTCTATACTATATATACTATATACTCTATAAACTAT